GGCGTGGGGCAAAGTGGCCCCACTCAGGACCCCCCGGACCTGCAACACAGAAGTGGGGTGCGTTTAGTGTGGGGCTGTGACACGGAGGGGGGACACATGGGAGGGACACTGAGCTGAAAAGAGCCAGCACGGGGGGGGCTGCTGCCAGGCCCCCCCTCCCCACTCAACCGCCGTCTCTTTTCAGCTGTAGGGGGGCACAGAGATGGAGACAGCACGGCCGGACACACAGCGACACGGACAGACGGGCCCGGCCGGGGGGGCTCCCACGCCGTCAGGCCGCCGGACGGTGACGGTGACAGGGACGGTGACGAGGAGGAGATGATGGGGGGGACGGTTACACTCCCTGTTGTGCCGGGTCGTACCTTCCTCGACGGATGTTCCTTGAGGGGGGGGCGGCAGAGGGTGGGGAGAGGAGAGGAGCGTTAGTGCCACCCCCGTGTCCCCGCTGTCGTCCCCCCCCTGCAGTGTCCCCCCTCTCAGTGTCCCTGCTCCCACAGGCAGCAGATGTGTCCCAGTGCCAGGCAGGAGCACACACACACGGAGGGGGCACCAACACAGCACCCCATGCGTGGGGACAGACACGGCCAGGACGCAGCTAGGGTGACAGTGAACCCCCAGGGACACATGCAGGCAGGGACAGGGGACCAGGCAGGGACACGGGGACCAGGCAGGGACAAGGGACCCAGCTGGGACAAGGGACCAGGCAGGGACAGGGGTCAGGCATCCCCGGCCCCAGGGGACTACATTGCAGGTGATGCCCAGCTCGGGGCGGGGGGACACAACTGGTGGTGCCGCCACCCAGGGGTGCCCAGGATGTCCCCAGGAGGGCAGGAGCCTGGCCCTGGTGTGGTGACAGTGCGCAGGGGACACGTGGCCGGTGCCAGCAGCAGAAGGGGACAAGCCATGCGATGGCTGCTTACTTAAATCCCCAGCCTGTCCCCCCTAGGACGATGGCGGCCACCAGCACGGCCCCCGCGATGGAGCCGATAATGATATTGGTGCCACTGGGACCTGTGACAGAGGGGACAGGGAGGAGGGGACAGGGACACACGTCAGTGGGGGGACGACAGGGACAGAGCCCCAGGGGACCTGGGGAGGGGGACACAGGACCCGGCTGCGCCCAGCGGAGCCATGGTGCTGGGGTCCAGGGGGGGGGAACAGGGACACGGGACCCCCTGGGAGAGGTTGGGGACAAAGTGGGACATCCCAGCCCCTGGGGACAGCAGGGACACGGGGAGCCTGTCCTGCCCCCCCCACCACCCCCCCCGCGGGGCGCACGGACCCTTGTATCGCTCCGTCTCCCCCGTGGGCTTTGGCTCGGGGATGGGGTCGTAGACGCTGCAGTCCTTCCCCGTCCACTCCGCCCGGCAGATGCACTTCCCCTCGTTGCTGCAAACCTGTGGGGAGGGGGACGGTGTCACCCACCCCCCCACACCTCCCCGCTGCCGTGACACCCAGCCGCGTCCCCCTCGCCCCCCTCACCCCGTGGTCGAAGCAGATCTTCCCGTCCCAGCTGCCGGGGCAGGAGCTGAAGTTAAAGGCGGTGGCTGGAAGGCATTTGCGGTCGAGACACAGCATCCCGGGCCCGCATGGCGTCCCGTCCTCCACGTAGCTCAGGTCCGAGCCGTCCACCAGCTGCACGTGGCCTCCCCTGCGCCGGGACGGGCAGAGTGGGTGACACTGGGATCCCCCAAACCCGGGGATGTCCCCATCCCCGCGGGGGTGGCCCCCACCTGCAGTCCACGTAGCGGTTCTGGTGGAAGAAGGTGGTGGCGGCGATCTCCCCGCTGAGCTCGCCCAGCCGGGGCGCCCCCGAGATGTTGGCGCAGAGGAGGAAGCCGCAGAGGACATCCCTGCAAGGCACCGGTGGCATCGCCGGGGTCGGTGGGTGGCACCCGGGGAGGGGACGTGGTGGCCAGGGCCGGGGTGGGGGACATGGGGCTCACTCACTGCTTGTTGCACTGCAGCCAGCCCAGGCCCTCGCGCCCGCAGTTGCCCCTCTCGGTCCCCTCCACGTTGAGCTTCTCGTAGCAGAAACGCTCAGCCGAGCCTGGGGGAACACGGGTGTCACCCACTCGTCACCCCCTGCCCACGCCCCCCCCGCCCCGGTCCTGGCACCTACCACGGCCCCACAGCGCGTTGCACTGCCGGTCTCTGGTCTTGCAGCGCCCGCCGTAGCATCGTCCCTGGGGAGAGGGGTCATGGGGAGAAGCTCGCACACGCGTGTGCGTGGCCACGGAGGTGGTAGGACGATGGCCACCCCGTGCTCAGCCACCGGACCACTGCATGGTCGGGGGGCTGCGTGTGTGCACGGCCAGGGCACAGGGCTCGGGGCACAAGGCCCCCACGCACACACGTGTGGAAGGTTTGCACGTCTGCACATGGAGGAGGGCGGCTCGCACGGCCCGTGGCTGCCGGGAGAGTGTGCGGGATGTGGGATCCGTGGCCACACACACAGGGACAGGGACCCCAGCCCCCGCTCACACAGCGTGGGGACGACAGGACGGCGCACGGGGAGGGCTCACACCCGCCCCGGGACCTGGCCACCACAGCTCACCCCAAACCCCACATGTGTGTGCGTGGCTCAGCCGTGGGGCTGGAGCCCACGGGGACGTGCTGGAGCCCCACAGCCGTGTCCCACCACCCCGGACCCGACTCACCTGCTCGTTTTCACAGAAGTAGCCGTCCAGCTTGTGGAGGTTGGGGGGGCACTGTGGGGGGCACACAGAGAAGAGGACGGGTGACACCATGTGGCTGCACGACGTGTCCCCCCCGTGTCCCCCCCCAGCCCAACTCACCTGGCTGGAGTCCCCAGTGCAGCTCTCGGGGATGTCACACTCGTTCACGGCCTCCCGGCAGGACACACCGCGCGGCTCGTACTGCACCGGGGGGGAAGGGGGGGGTGAAGTGGCCACGTCAGGGACCCCGGTGGGTCCCCGTGTCCTCGGGTCCTCCCCCGGGACCCCGGCCCCCACCCCGCACCTTGCAGCCCTTGCAGCAGAGCCCGTCGCTGCACATGGCGTCGTGGGTCAGCGTGCACTTCTTGCAGCAGTTGCCCCCGCTCTTCGCACACTCCTGCCGGGACAGCGGCCACCGCCGCACGTCAGCCACCGGGCAATGCCATCAGCCACCCAGCAATGCCATCAGCCACTGGGCAATGCCATCAGCCACCCGGCAATGCCATCAGCCACCAGGCACCCCCGTCAGCCACCCGGCAATGCCGGTGGCCGTGGCAAGCAGAGCCCGGTCCCTGCTCACCGCCAGCGAGCCGCAGTCACACTCCTCTCCCGCCTCCACGAAGCCGTTGCCGCACTCCGGAGGGTCCAGGAGCTGCCGGGATGGAGGGGAGGGGGGAGCAAGAGATGCTGGGGACGGGGGGATGTCCCCGAGCTGGGTGCTGGTGTCACCCCCCCAAAACAGGCATGGTGTCCCCAGGGGATGGGAGGACCCCCCCCCAAACCAGCTCGCTTTGTGCCATCGGGGTCTGTCCCTCACTGGGGACAGCGGGGTTGATGCAGGGCTGGGAGGTGGCAGGGGCTGGGGGAGAGCGTGAGGCCCCAGGGACACTCGGAGCAGCCCCCAGGGCATGTGTCCCCCCCCTGCGACCACCACTCCAGGGTTGGGAGGGTCCGGGGGGGGGCCGTTACCTTCAGGGGTTTGTTGAAGAGGCAGCTGCCACCGCCATCCTGCAGGAACTGGTTGTACTCGTCGATGCTGCAGCGGGAGAACTTCCGTGGGAGGTAGTACCTGTGGGGTGGGGGACAGGGGACACTGTCACCCCCCCTGCGCCTCCCGGGTGGCATCACCGGGCTCCCAGCACCCCCAGCCATGCCACAACTGGGGGTGGTGACGCCAGGCAGGTGGGGGACGGTGGCAGTGCCACCCCGAGTGGGCACCCACCCTGTGTCCTCCATGATGCAGCCCAGCCAGGAGTCCGGGCACCGGCAGTCCCCTGGGAGGAGAGGGGACAGGCTGGGGGTGCTGGCTGTCCTGCCACCAGCTTGGTGGCACCGCGGTGTCCCCCAGCTGTCCCCGTCCCGCTCCCGGGGGGGTGGCGGGTACCTGCCGCCGTGCGGTGCTTGTTCCACATCATGCCCACGTTCTGCCCCAGCGTCTGCGCCAGCGTCACCGCCATGGCCGCCACGTTGCCGTACTGAGGGGAGGGACGGGGGAGTCACCGCGGGACCCCTCACCCTGTCCCCAGCCCTCTCTCATGGCTGGGGGGGGGTGTCTCGCTGCACCCACCTCGTTGACACCCCCGGCGCGGGCGGGCGAGCAGATGCCCCCCACGAAGGCGGTGCCGCTGCGGCTGCTCTGGAAGGTCCGACCCCTGCGAGGAAGAGGATAGTGGGGACAGGGGACGGGGGCTCCGGACCCCGGGGGGGTGACGCGGCCGCGGCGCTCACGAGAAGAGGTGGACGGTGTCGCTCTGCTCCGCCGGGCCCTCGCGCCGGTACTTCACAAACTCGTTCAGGGTCTCCAGGGAGTCCTCCCCCATCCGGATCCGGTCCTCCGAGGCCCAGGTCTCCATGGCCACCAGCACGATGCGGGTGTTGAGCTGCTCCTTGTAGATCTGCAGGGACGAGGGGACGGTGCTGGGGACAAATCCCCCTCCCCGGGGACAAACCCACCAGGCCCTGGGGACAAGCCCCCCAGGGTCAAACTCCCAGTGGGACCAAACCCCCAGGAACAAAGAACTCATTCAGGGTCTCCAGGGAGTCCTCCCCCATCCGGATCCGGTCCTCCGAGGCCCAGGTCTCCATGGCCACCAGCACGATGCGGGTGTTGAGCTGCTCCTTGTAGATCTGCAGGGACGAGGGGACGGTGCTGGGGACAAATCCCCCTCCCCGGGGACAAACCCACCACGCCCTGGGGACAAGCCCCCCAGGGTCAAACTCCCAGTGGGACCAAACCCCCAGGAACAAACCCACCAGGTGTCAGGGATGAACAACTCCAGGATCAAACCCACCAGGAAATGGGGACCAACCCCCTGGGGATGAACCCCTCCAGGGAGAAGCCCACTAGGGACCAACGCCCTGGAGACAAACCCACCAGTGCTGAGGATAGTCCCCCAGAAGACAAACCCATCAGGGACAAGCCCACCAGGTGTTGGGGACAAGCCCAGCAGGTGATGGGGACTTCCCTCGGGGACAAACCCACTGGCCACTGGCACCACGGTGTCCCCCAGCTGTCCCCATCCCGCTCCCGGGGGGGTGGCGGGTACCTGCCGCCGCGCGGTGCTTGTTCCACATCATGCCCACGTTCTGCCCCAGCGTCTGCGCCAGCGTCACCGCCATGGCCGCCACGTTGCCGTACTGAGGGGAGGGACGGGGGAGTCACCGCGGGACCCCTCACCCTGTCCCCAGCCCTTTCTCATGGCAGGGGGGGGCTGTCTCGTTGCACCCACCTCATTGACACCCCCGGCGCGGGCGGGCGAGCAGATGCCCCCCACGAAGGCGGTGCCGCTGCGGCTGCTCTGGAAGGTCCGACCCCTGCGAGGAAGAGGATAGTGGGGACAGGGGACGGGGGCTCCGGACCCCGGGGGGGTGACGCGGCCGCGGCGCTCACGAGAAGAGGTGGACGGTGTCGCTCTGCTCCGCCGGGCCCTCGCGCCGGTACTTCACAAACTCGTTCAGGGTCTCCAGGGAGTCCTCCCCCATCCGGATCCGGTCCTCCGAGGCCCAGGTCTCCATGGCCACCAGCACGATGCGGGTGTTGAGCTGCTCCTTGTAGATCTGCAGGGACGAGGGGACGGTGCTGGGGACAAATCCCCCTCCCCGGGGACAAACCCACCAGGCCCTGGGGACAAGCCCCCCAGGGTCAAACTCCCAGTGGGACCAAACCCCCAGGAACAAACCCACCAGGTGTCAGGGATGAACAACTCCAGGATCAAACCCACCAGGAAATGGGGACCAACCCCCTGGGGATGAACCCCTCCAGGGAGAAGCCCACTAGGGACCAACGCCCTGGAGACAAACCCACCAGTGCTGAGGATAGTCCCCCAGAAGACAAACCCATCAGGGACAAGCCCACCAGGTGTTGGGGACAAGCCCAGCAGGTGATGGGGACTTCCCTCGGGGACAAACCCACTGGCCACTGGGGACAAACTCCACAAGGACAAACCCACCAGCTGCTGGTGAAACCCCCCCACAGGACAATTCCCCCAGGGACAAACCCACCAGATGCTGGGGACCATACCCCCTCCAGAGGATAAACCCACCAGGGACAAGCCCACCAGGCGCTGGGGACAGTCCCTCCCTCCAGGGACAAGCCCACCCAGGAAAAAACACCCTGGGAATGAACTCCCTGGGGACAAACCCCCGGGTGCCACAGACAGAGATCCTGTGGACAGAGCCCCCCAAGGACAACCACCCCCCCCAGGTGCCAGGGACCAAACACCTGGGGACAACCCCCCAGGGACCCACCCCAGGAGCCCCCCCCTCACCATGTCAGCCAGGTTGACCACAGACTTGGCGAAGTTGCTGGTGAGAACCACGGACTTGCGGAACTGCAGGAACTGGGAGAGGGGGGAGGACACCAGGGGCCAGGTTGGGCTCCGGGGGGGCCACCCCGACCCCCCACCCCACCAGCCCTGGTGTCCCTGCACTTACCAGCTGGTGGTCGTTCACCACCGCCAGCTCGATGTACTTGGTCTCGCTGTGAACCGTGTGCTGGGCTCGGCGGACCTGCCAGCGAGAGCCACGGCCGAGCCCCTTTTGAGGGGTTTTTCACCCCTTTTGAGGGGTACTTGGGGTGCGGGGGGAGCCATCTGGGTGGGCTCAGGGCCTGATCCCCTCTGGCTTTGCCAGGGAGTCCCCAGGGCGTCCCCGAGCCCGCTCAGGAGCAGCCTCCTGCAGGGACATCCCCAGGAGCCAGCCCAGCACCCGCGTCGGGGCCGTGCCGTGGGCAAGTGGCCACCAAGGCAAGGCTGAGCTGGCAGCTGGAGACCAACCGGGGTCAAGCATCCCTTCCCCATGTCCCCCGTCCCCCCCGTCCCCACTCACCTGCCGCCGCCGCCGCAGCTTTGGTAACCCACCCGCGAGGTGCTGGTTCAGCGCAGGGAAGAGGCAGCCTGGAGAGAAGGGACAGAGCTGGTGGGGCACAGGACACGGGGCCACCGGGGCCACCATCCCTGGTCCCTGGGAACCAGCAGTGGCTCCACGCCAAGGCTCACCCGGTCGGGCGCAGCTGGGGACGCGCTGGACGACGTGTGGTCGAAGGCCCTGCCACGGGGAGACATGTGTCATGGCCACGCGTGAAGGTGACAGCAGGGAGGGGGGAACCACCATGTCCCCGTGTCCCCAGGGCTGTCCCTGAGCTGCAGCCAGACCCGTAAGGCCGGGTTGGGGAAACTGAGGCAGGCACACGGCGAGTCCCGGTGCCACCGCTCACCTGCCCGTGCTCCGCGCCCGCCTGGGGCTCGATCAGGTAGGTGGCTCGGCCGTCCGAGAAGACCCCGCTGCAAAGTGAGATGGGGGGGGGGTGACAGGGTGCAGGGGGTGCAGCCTCCCCCTGACCCCCCCCCTTTTTGTCCTGCCCCGTGGCGGGGGGTACTCACTGCAGGCCCTGGCAGCTGGAGAGGGCGGCGAAGGAGCGGGGCTGCCCCCGGACCCGGCCCTGGTAGTAGCAGTGCTCCCCTGCGCCCTGCGGAGCGGGGAGAGGGGGCTCAGGTGGACGCCTCCATCCCACCCGTGCCCCCCAGGCAGCTGCCCCCCATCGCTGGGATCACCCCCCCGAGCTTCCACCCCTGGGATGGTGGCCCTGGGGTTGGCTGCCCATCACCCTCGTGGTCACCGGCGCCCACAGCACCCACCAAAGCACCCCGGGGACCACCCATCCCAGCAGCACCCGAGGGATGGAGGAACCATCACCCACGGGGGCAGCACCCCAATGCCTGGGCTGGGCACCCCAGGGGTGGGGGGTACCCTGAGGCCACCCAGGTGGAGACATGGACCTGCTGGTGTCTCATGGAACTCCTGGACTTCTCCCGGACCTAGAAATCTGCCACCAGGCCCCCAGAGCTGCCATGGCTCAGCAGGGCACGGCGTGGCAGAGCACGGCGCGGAGCTTACCGTGCTGTGGGTGCCGTTGCCACCCGCGCCGAGGTGCCGCTCCACGTAGTGGGAGGAGAGGAGGTGGCTGCGGGGAGCAGGCCGCGGTGGTGGGGAGGAAGAGGAGGAAGAGGAGGAAGAGGAGGAAGGGGAGGAAGCGGAGGGAGAGGAGGAAGAGGAGGATGAAGACACCAGCAACCGTGGCCCCACCAGCAGCACCCTCCTGGTGCACCCACCCACCACTCGTGCACGTGGCATCACCCCGGGACCCCCTCACTTTGGGGGGTGCTGACACCCCACGGGCCCCTCTCACCCCCCAGCTCAGCCCCCGGTACCACTGGGACAGCTCCGCACAACCCACCCCCTGTCCCCAAGGACCCCCGACTCCTCCACCCCCTCCCCCCCACCCAGGGGTGCCCCCACCCCAGCGGGACCCCGGGCGCTCACTGGTTGAGGCGCAGGTCGAGGGTGAAGGCCGAGCCGAAGGCGCGCACCACGAAGCTCACCCGGGCCAGGTGCAGCCCCTGCAGGAGAGACGGCACCATCAGCCCCCCCCGTAGGAAATTAAAAATTAAAATCATTAAAAAACCCCAACCCAAACGTTCTCCCTACAGGTGCGCTTTTATTCTTAACCCCCAACAATTCATCGTAAAGGAAAACGCTGGGGTTTTGCCCCAAAATCATCACTCCTGAGCTGCTGGGAGGGCACCCACATCCCACCGCCCCCCTCCTCGGGAGCTGTACTGGGGGGGGTGTTGGAGCATCCCCCCCCCGCAGGCCCAGCGGAGCCGTGGCGATGCCGAGCCCGCGTTCCTCCCGCCCTGCGGTCGCTCTGACCCAATTCCTGCCGGCGGCAGCGGGAGCCGCGCTCCAAACGTACTCTCTAAAGGTGCGCTTTTATTCTTAACCCCCAACAATTCATCGTAAAGGAAAACGCCGGGGTTTTGGCCCAAAATCATCGCTCCTGAGCTGCCGGGAGGGTGCCCGCATCCCACCGCCCCCCTCCTCGGGAGCTGTATTTGGGGGGGGACACTGCTGGAGCATCCCCCCCCCGCAGGCCCAGCGGAGCCGTGGCGATGCCGAGCCCGCGTTCCTCCCGCCCTGCGGTCGCTCTGACCCAATTCCTGCCGGCGGCAGCGGGAGCCGCGCTCTGCGGCGCCTGAGACCGGGCAAACTCATCGCACGCACCGGGCTCCATCCCCGCCTCCCGCGGGAGCCCCGCACCGGGACAAACGCCGGCCGGGAGAAGCCAAACCTTTCCTGGGCTGCCCCGGCCCCTCTCTGGGACCCCGGGGGCGGCTCAGGACGGGGACACGGGGACAAGGACCCCGGGAGGGGTCACCCCCAGCCAGAGCCGTGCCCCCGCTGGGGCTCAGCCGGATCCCGGCCCTGGATCCCGCGGGATCTGCGGCCGCTCCATCCCCCCCCGCGACGCCCCGGTTTAACACCTCCCGAAACCCTCCGGCACCGGCCCCCCCACCCCGGCGCTTCCCGGCGTCCGGCGGTTTCACTTAACGCCGGGTTTAAATCACCTTTGCGGCAACCGCAGCTCGTTATTGCGCCTTTTATCCGGCGGGGACGGGGGGATCGATGCGGCCTCGGCAGCCGCCGCCGCCTCTTTGAAAGCATCAGCCCCCCCCCCGGCG